AATCAGGTCAAGCATATGCTTTGTCTGTGAGGCCTGGGTTCCACCTACTCTGCTGGGTGTATCTTACAATCGTAGTGACCAAAAAGTATGAAAATTTAAAGTACTGATACTAATAATTTATCATTGTGCCGCTGGTATTATTGTAAATGCGTCTTGTGTATAAACTCAATGCTCATCTCTACTGTGAGGGAGGTACTTTTGTTGTCTTTATTTTAAGCATGAGAAAATTGAGGTAAAATAATTTCTCTGTAAGTTACGTAGTAAGTGTTGAAGTCACCATCTGGAGGGCAGTGCACCAGAAATAATATCATTATCTCTGATAATAGCATAGAGTAATCGAATTCTTTGTGCCTCTGTTATAGAATGTGTCTCTGCTGTTTATGTAATCAGAAATAGCATGTTGAAAGGAAATTAGGGTTGCTGACGGGTTTGGAGTTCGAACATTGAATGAAATTCTTTTATTAACAGTTTTGTAAATTACGGAGCCTAAAGAGCGGGGTTGGGTTGGGGGAAAGGAGGTTTGGGGCATGTTGGGATGAAGAACAACAGCAATATGAGAATATTTAAAGGTTTGAATTTCAAAGAATAACATTTATTATGTCTAATACAGAAGTTTTACTTGATTAAGGAGAAGTAGATACCAGGGTCTGTGGCTTGGGATGTGGCGTAGTGGTAGAGTGTGAACTTCCCTTATATAGGCACAGCCATGGGTTTGATTCCCAAAATTTAAAAAAAGAGAGAGAGAAAAGAACAAATACCACAAGTTTTCAAAAAATCAGTACAATCTCCGTACACATAACTTCCTGCTAAGCACTCAGTGTATGTGTTTGATAATTTTCTTTTATTGATATGGAAAGCAAGATATTTAGTTCATTGTAATAAAACGTATTCCAGGAAACTGGCTTGCAATCTAATCGGATTTTGTGTGACTACTTGAATACTTCATCAGCAATAGAAAATATAAAGGCACATACATGCGTAATAAAACATTTCAAGGAAATATGCACCTTCTATTCTATAAAGTATTGCTCAAAGTCAAACACATTTCCCCCCTGAATAAGTTCTGTTAGGCTGTGTTTTTTCCCTTCGGAATGACATTCCTTTCCCCAGAAAGCATTAACTGTAATTTGTAGAAATTTGATAATATTTCGAGTTTTCTTAGTGATAAAAGCTACTGTTTGCCACTGTGTACCAGACATTTCGGCGAAGTGCTTTCTGCCAGACTGGATGTCCTTGGTTCGAATGTGGCTCAGCTATTTAGCTCAGTTAATGTAAGCCCAATGTATTTGGAATACGGTTAAGTAGAGATGACCTAAAATTTTTCATTTCGACTTTTTATTGAAAGAAATTATAATGGAGAAGTATGATAGTAGTAACACCCCTACAAGGCACCCATTGTGTGTGTGTGTGTGTGTGTGTGTGTGTGTGTGTGTGTGTGTGTATTTTGGGGACCCTTGATATTCTTGTTTTACTTAATTCTCTGAGCTGTGATAAGCCTACGTAGTAAGTAAGCTGGGAAAGGAAGTCTCTGGGTCAGCGCTCCATCTCGAAAGAGTCCTGTGGGGTCCACCACACGGCCCAGCTCTGCAGCTCAGCCTCCTCCATGACTACCCAGCCTCTCTGTTGGGCGTGGTTTTTATTGCCTAGGTCACAGACTTTCCTTAGGGGCTTAGCTAAGTTAGATATCCTCTGCAACTTTTTATGTCTTCTCTCTCTCTCTCTCTCTCTCTCTCTCTCTCTCTCTCTCTCTCTCTCTCTCTCTCTTTTCTTTTTGGGTCACACCTGACAATGCACTGAGGTTATTCCTGGCTCATGCACTCAGGAATTACTCCTGGCGGTGCTCAGGGGACCATATGGGATGCTGGGAATCGAAAGGCGAACGCCCTAGGGTATCAGTCCGGTCCCACCTTCCTGTCTTCTCCAGGAGGGAAATATGTATGTTTTAAAATTTTTTTAAAAATTGTGAATAAATGACTCTTTTGGAAGCCGAGACTGCCTAAGATGAATTTGAGAGGAGCCGTGGTTCTGAAAACAGCAGTTTCATCATGAGAGCACTAGTCACGGGTTCTCAGGAGCTTGTCAGAGCCTGAGGTACTAGGAAAGGCTCAGCCATGTGACCGCTCCATGTGGCTAACCATCGATGATGACTGGGGACTTATGTTTATTAAAGGCATACAGAAATCACTATTAGCTTGGCAGGAAATGCCAACAATAACCCCTTTAGGTCTGTACTCCTGGTTTTTCTCTTGAAGACAAACCCCAGTACATGGTTTTCTTTCTAAAATAAACCAAATTACATGGAAGCAAATAAATCTCTAATGAAAGAGAGGGTCGCTTGCCTGACATGAATAGATATGAAAGGAATTGCAGCCATGAGCTGGCAGCCCATCTGTACTCCCACAGGAAGCCACAGGGTAAGCAATGTTCTATTTGTAAGCGAGGGACAATGAAGTTTAGGTTTGGGCCTGGTTCCAGACAGTTCCTGGTTGTTTTGTTGCTAATGGTATCAGAATTCCCAGGTCTCTCGACATGGATTCTCTCTGGATGCTATTTCCTCATGAGAGTGTGTCTTTGGCTCAGAAACAAATACAAAGACAATTTGAGGGTATTAGGGTTGTATTATGGCCATAAACATCAGGAGTAAACAGAAAGCAGATACAGAGTCAGGAAAGGTTTTATTGGTAGAGCTAGCTTCTGCTCCTTCCTCAGGATGCTGAGGATTTGGTTACATATATTAGAAAAAAGCTTTCAGGTTTTGTCCTGTCGTTGGAAAACTCTTTAAAATGGGCAATTAGGTGTTGAAACGCGTTTTCATTTTCTCTCTAAAGAACTCACTGAGCATAAGGCTAGATTCAAATTTTAAAGTGACAACAGGTTTTGTTTATATTTTAATTAAACAAATGAAGAAAGTGTAATTTTATAGGACAGAGGCATACTGCCTTGCCACAAGTTTTCATGGAGAGACTGAAAATTTAAGAGAGTCAAGAGGTCAGACTACATGCCACGTGCTACTTTCTGGATTAGGATACTGAATATTTGGATATCTCCTCACTGACGGTTGGGAAATACACATTTTTCTTTTCTGCCCTAAACATGTATATGAAGGGAATGGTTGTCAGGAAGAGAAAGTTCATACGTGAGGATGAGGCTCCAGGTCCCAGATAGGGGAAATTGTCTTTGCCTTAAAGAATGATTGAGGGCAGAAGTCATAGTACAGCAGGCAGGGCGTTTACCTTGCACGAGACTGACCTGGGTTCGATCGAAGCATCCCATATGGTTCCCCAGCACTACCAGGAGTAAGCCCTGAGCACGGCCAGGTGTAACCCAAAAGACCGTAGAAAAAAAGTCCCTCCATCCTCTTCTCTACCCCTCTCTCTCCCTTATTCTTTCTCTCATCCTCTCTTTCCTGACCCCCCCCCCCCCCAAAATGAATGAATGAATCTTTGGGGGAAGTCCTGCCTCATCGGTTTTTACTTCCTTAAAAATAGAAGGAGATTGTTTGGTTTTGTCCCCCTACCCCCTCCCACTCATCTGTCCTCTGGTTCTCTGAAATTTTTTCACATATTGCATTTATCTTAGCTCATTTCTTTAGCTTTCTTTCCCTTTCCCTCCCTTGGACTTCCCTCCTTTCTCAGTTCTGAAGGAGAGAGTAGGTAGTGAATAACTTAAATCTGTGTAGTAATTCAGAGGAGATTCTGTTTGCGCAAACATTTAATCCCTAACAAGGAGTTTTAATGCAGTTATCCAGCAGTTTTTGTGGTGTGTTGGTTTTTGGTTATTTTTCTTTTTTCAGAAGCCTCACGTGTGGTACCCTTGTTTTGTATGTTGTAGATACCTTCTATAGTCTACCATTTATATTTTGTACTCAGTGTCTTGTCAAACAGGAATTTCCTTTTATATAGCCATATTTGTCAATATGGATAATTTGAATCAAGTCCATTTGGATCTTGCATCTCTTACAGAGAGACTTTTCCCAGCCCAATACACAGAAGCTTATTCCACGACCTCCCCCTTGAATACTTGCTGAGTTAGAAAAAAAAAAGTAGTTTTTAATAAATTTGTGGGCTGGAGCGATAGCACAGCGGTAGGGCGTTTGCCTTGCATGCAGCCGACCTGACTGACCCGGGTTCAATTCCTCCGCCCCTCTCAGAGAGCCCGGCAAGCTACTGAGAGTATCTTTCCCGCCCAGCAAAGCCTGGCAAGCTACCTGTGAAGTATTCGATATACCAAACACAGTAACAACAAGTCTCACAATGGAGATGTTACTGGGTCTGCTCGAGCAAATCGATGAACCACTAGACGACAGTGACTTGTGACTTTTCTGTAAGGTGTAAGATGAGACTTCATCACTTCTGTGTTTTTTTATTTTGGGACCATGTCTGGCAGTACTCAGGGCTTACTCCTGGCCCCGGCCCATACTTAGGAAGTAGTCTTGATGGGCCTCAAGGATATGTGGGTGCCAGGGGTCAGACCACAGTCTGCTGCAAACAAGGCGACCACCTTCCCCGTTATATGCGCTCTTTGATCTCACTGATTGGTCTGTTTCCTCACTGGCATAAAATTCTCTCTTGTTATGATCAGATTCTCACAAATGCACCCGTTTTTGCACTGTCTGCATTTTCTTGCTTATTCCTATGATGGTATCGTACCGGCATGGCATCTGGAAGAGGAAAAAAAAATCTCAATTTCCCCCTACCTCTACCCCTGTCATTTTCTTATTTATGTACCTATATTTACAATAATGTGAATTTTATGTTTTTGGTTAAGAGAGTTGTTGTATCTCTGCCACCACCCGTGTGTCAAAATCCCCCTTCCTCATCCCAAACCCTTACCTAACTGTAAACATTTATTTGCTTTCATAGAAAATCTTTATCTGTGGATATCATCGTAATGCTTGTTTAAATTTAGATGGCACTTCCTACTGCTGACTTTGTTTTTATATGTGATTTATTCATTTGGTGATTGGTGTCTTTTTTCCCCCCCTTTTCCTTATGTTTTAGAGTCCCTTGTGTGGAAATGTACATGAGTCGGCTCTGCCTAGGAGGGTGGTCATTTCTCATAATATGGATAAAGCTTTGAAAGAAGGTAAGGAGGAAATGAAAATTTGTGTTGCCATGCAAAGAAATGAAGGATGTCCTCAAAGGAAAATGATTATATCTAGCAAATGTATCATTTCTCTTTTTTAGAAAATTTTATTTTATTTTTTATAAAATCGTTCACAGTGATTTATTACATTCGCTATTACAACACCAATCCCATGATCATTACACCTTCCCACCACCATTATTTCCAATTTTCCCAACTACCACCCAAGTCTACCTCAATGGTAGGCCCTTAATAATTTATTTTACATTGCTCGTTATGGTTAATTCGTTAAGATGACCAAAGAATATTTTCTTAAAAAGAATGTGTGTGAAGATTGTCGTATCTCACCCTAGAGCCACTGAGTCTACGAGAGATCACTAACATGCCGTTACAGGTTAGGCCTTGCATGTTAATATTTTCTTAATCGAGATTGGTTGCCTTCGACTTGACATCCCGTCCAACGTGGTGTTCTACTACTGGTATATCAGTGATACAGAGTATGAGAAATGAAAAGTGGCCGCATGCTCCAGGAGTTCTAGAATTTTGATGGGGTAATACAGCTGGGGTTAAATTGCTAACTGGATGGTGACTTTGAAGTTCAAAAGCATCTCTGCAGCTTGTTGAGATTTATTCATGAGTCTCTGGATTCTGATCTGTTAATGAGTTTATTTGGCGCCTAAGGTAGTTCATGGGTGTGACGGCTAGGCTCCCAGGAGAACAGGAGGATGGGAGGAGGTTGCCCATTCCCCGACTCTGAGAGCCTGGAGATTTTGGTCACAAAACCCACATACCTGAGTTTTCCAACAGATTCACTCATGAATGAGGCTTGTCTGAGCTGTGGAACCTGGCCGTGAGCATGACAGCGATTGGGCTCTGGAGGTTTTTGGCTGCTGGGGCTCTGTCTGGGTGAGTGGAGGGACTCACCCACCCCCTTCTGGGGTGGCCCAGATATGAGGTTCAGCCTGGCGTGGGGTCTGGAGACAGTTCTGCAGCTCGCCGATCTCTTTCGAGATTTATTCGTCTCTGGATCGTGACCAGTTCTATTTTTCTTGACTATGTAAACATTAGAAAATTTTCTTCATACATTTTTGTGTGATGACCAGAGAAATACATGTTTGTTTTAATTGCATGGACATTTCACCACTTATTAGATAGGAATTACCAGGTCAAAAAAAGCTACCCAGCCTTGTGAACCTTGTTCCACATAATGATACAAGAGTCTGCTCTCCATCCCCCCCAGTAGGCGTTGTGAACTGTGTTTTCATTTAGATCTAACCCAGTGAACTATATTGGGGATACGTATAATCAAGCTCTCTCATGAACAAGCCAGTTAACTGAGTGAAGGGACAGTTGTTTAGAGGTTGCTCCTGGTAGTACTCAGGGATCTTACCCTGTCAGGGATAGAAGCTGGACCTCCTTCCTGCATGCAAAGCTTGTGCAGTATCCCTTTAAACTATCTTCCTGGCCCCTAATCATTTTAAATATAAACCAGTCTCACTAACTGGTATGAGATTTTTTAAAAAATTTTTTTAATAACAAGGGATTTTGAGCACTTTCCAGTGTGTTTGTATGCCCTCTTTGGAGAAATATCTGTTCATATGTCTTTTGTTCATTTTTAAAAAAATTGGGGCGTTAGTTAAGTTTTTCATTGTTAAGTTGTGGAATTTCTTTTTAATCTGCGTATAACAACTCCTTCCTTGCCAGATGTGGGATGTGAGAAGGCACTCTTTTTTTTGTGTGTGGTAGTTTCTTTTTGCTCTGTAAAAAATTAATTTTGATGCAGTTCTATTTTTTTATTCTTCCTTCTATTTGTAGATGTTTTTACAAAGATGTTTCTTGGAGGCCAGAGAGATAGTATTGAGGTTAAGGTGCTTTCCATGTACACAGTCGACCCAAGTTTCAGCCCAGGAACTGCATATGGTCCCTAACTCCATCAGGAGTGCTCCCTGAGCACAGCTGGCTATGACCCCCAAACAAAACAATAATAACAACTGTCATGTATAACATGTGTATAGATACACGCAAATATCTAGATATATTTATATACTCAGAACTCATATATTTTGTTTTATCTTTCAGTTTATGAGTTGTCTCCTATTTTCCTAATATTGTCTTTTGAGCAGAAATTTCAAACTTTGATGAAGTCCACTTTATTTATCCTTTTCCTTAGATTCATAATATTTTCTGTTTCCTAAATTCGCTGATTCTTTGTTGCTTGTAATTAAGTGCATTTGCTGATTTTTAAAAATCTTAAATGCCGTATTTTTCATGAGTAGAATTTCTGTTTGATTCTATTTTTGATTCTCTGTTGAGATTTCCTCATCTACTGTTTTTGACTGCCTTCGTTTTTAATTTCTTAAACCTGTTAATAAAATAACTTTAAAGTGTGCACGCACTAGTTCTGACATTTGGACCATCTTGAACTTTATTTGTATGGATTGCTCAAGTCTAGTTATTTTTAGGTGGATAGTATCTCAGAAGTCTGGACTGTGTCTCTATCTTTGAGGACTTTTATTTCTTTGTGTTGTAACACACAGTTTAATTTCTGGCTGTCAGAACATTGAAGGTGTGTGTGTGTGTGTGTGTGTGTGTGTGGTGCTGGGGATAAACCCTGGGCCTCCCTGATGAGAGGCATATGCTCTACCACAGAGCCAACCCCCAGCCGTGAAGTTAACACATTTTTTTAGGGTAGATTTTTGTCTTTCATATATGGTGATGTCCTCAGTCCTGGCACCTGGGCTTAATCCATCTGACACAGGACTTCACTGTTAACATGGAAAGCCCACAGTTGCATCTCCAACTTGGCAGGACTCAAACGCCAAACGGTCTCTCAGTGGGGAGGCCAGGGACGTTTCTGCTCAGCTATTTCAGTCTCCCAGCTGGAGCTGTGCACTGGTGTTCTTGTAGTTTCTGCTCCTGCATGTATATTTCAGGATCAGCAGTGTGTTTGAAAGTCTCCCCAAATTTTGTGAGCCCATTGTTTTTGTGACTTCCTGTCTTTATACCTTTAATTAAAACACACACGCGAATAAAATAAAGTAAAATAAAACACACATGCACAAGACAGGGGTCAGAGGAACCGATGCTGTGTCTAAGTCTGAATTGCCTTGTGCCTCTCGGACTGTGAGCATCTTTAGAGGAAAGTCATGTAGACAAAGATGTGCACAGTGCCAGTTCCTGCAGCTCCTATTGACTGATTCCTCTACAGTGCCTCTGAATTGTTCTCTATTGCTCTTACCCAGTTCCGAATGTTTTCCAAAGGAAGATTAGTTTGGTTAAAACTCCCGTCATAGCTGGAGCTGGAACTCTCCTTAATGGAAAAGAAATACATACATGTGCACACACACGTATAAATATAAATATATATATACACACATATGTATATCAATATCACTGTATCATTGTATCACTGTCATCCCGTTGTTCATCGGTTTACTCAAGTGGGCGCCAGTAACATCTCCATTTGTCCCTGAGATTTTAGCAGCCTCTTCTTACTTGTTTTTCCCAACGTTACCATGTTGGAGGCTCTTTCAGGGTCAGGGGAATGAGACCCTTTATTGTTACTGCTTTTGGCATATCCAATACACCACGGGTAGCTTTCCAGGCTCTGTTACATAAAAACAGAAAAGTTAAAGACTAGGTACGTGTGGTCTTGCATACCAGAGGCCCAGGTTTGGTCCCCAACATTGCACATCACCAGTGAATATTTATTTTGGAGGCACTAGCTTTTGAACACCACCAACACAGGACTGTATAATAGAAAAGAATAAGTCACACACCACTAAGTATCAATACAGAGCTAACATAACACCAATATACGGAATTCATTCTGTAGAAAAACATGTGCACATAGAGCAAGCAAAGCAATTCAATAACCTGTAAAATTGGTCTGTATTAGATAACATACCAGACCCAAAAAAACTCAAAGGACATTAATCCCTGATCAGAATACTAAGCAACCCTATAAACAGTTATGAGAAGGTTACTATACATATGTATGTGGGGGAGGGGCTGGGAAATTTCTCAGTGATTATGGGCAGCGACTCCAGGACCTAGGTTCAAATACCAGTGCTATGTGGTCCACTGAACACTTTGTCAGGTCAGGCCCCAATGACCCCCGAGCGGCTAAGGTGGCCCTGTTTGTCCCCAGCAGTGTGAGGTCTGAGCAGCTCTGCATCCTTTGGCCAAGACACTGTCGGTTGGCTGAGTATTCTAGGGCATGACCAGTACCCCACCCCCACCCATTCCCTGTGATCATTGGGAGCCCCACAGATTATTTTAAATTGTGATAAAATACAGTGGCACTGAGCACTGTCCTCTTGTTGTTCATTTATTTGCTCGAGTGGTCCCAGTAACGTCTCCATTGTGAGACTTGCTGTTACTGTGTTTGGCATATTGAAGACATCACAGGGAGCTTGCCAGGCTTTGCCATGTGGGCGAGATATTCTCGGTAGCTTGCCGGGCTCTCTGAGAGGGGTGGAGGAATCAAACCTGGGTTGGCTGGGTCAGCCATGTGCAAGGCAAATGCCCTACCACTGCGCTATTGCTCCAGCCCATGACCAGCACCCCGCCCCCGCCCATTCCCTGTGATCATTTGGAGTCCCACAGATTATTTTACATTGTGATAAAATACAGACTAAAGTCAAATTTGTCATCATAGCTGTTCCTAAAGGCTACGGTTCAGTGGTGTCACGTACATTTTTGTTGTAGTGCACAATCCCTAGAATACTTCTCATCTTGTCAGGCTGACACTCTGTACCTTTCACACCATCCCTACCTGCTTCTGCTCACCACCCCCTCACTCTGCTTTCTGACTCTAGGGCCATCATCTAACGTGGATCCATAAAATATTTGCCCTTTTGTACCGACCTTATTCACTTAGAATCATAAACTATGTTGTATGTCACATGACTCAGAATCTTCATTCACTTTTAGGCTGAGGAATATCCCACACCATGCATCTGTCACATTTTTCTCGATTCATTTATTAATGAGCATTTGGATTGCTTTCACATTTTGGCAGTTGTGTATAATACTCTATGAATGTACTTTAATATATTTAGAATTTCAGACATACCTTTGGAAATGAACTAGAGATGAGGCCTAGTTTAAAAAAAAAAACAAACCTACCCCCAATTATTTTCAGATTAATTTGTAATTATTTCACTTGAATGGAAAGTACTTTCCAAAATCTTTGGGCAAGTCTTATGGTTATTACTGTGGTACTATGCTATTTTTTCCTTAGGCCATTTTCTTAATGTTTACAATTTTTCATCTTTTGCTTTAAGCAAGTAAGTGTTTAAAAAAAATCTAACAGATTAAAATCACTTTCTGAAAATTGTGAAATTTTAATTTAATGAGGAATTAGAATTTAGAAATGTATGTGGCGATGTTTAAGAGGTCTCATAAACTTTCAAAAAAATCTGTAGTGATTATAACTTACATCTCTGGATATTTTAATTTGCATTTCTAAGCCCTGACAGTTTCACTTTAATTGAAATTCTGAATGTTACTAGCTAGCTAGAGTATACTTGTATTGATAAAATTGAGGGTCTCCTGGTATGCTTGCATAATATAAATACTTGAAATCAATATTAAGGTTGCTGTAATTTGAGTTGAGTTGATATGAAACCCATATGAAATATTTAAAACCTAACCATGGTAGTTTAAACTAACTGTAGAACTTTGTAATCATTGTGCAATTTTGTCTGTATGTTTATACTTTTAGAGTATATAATTAAAAATGAATCTTTTTAAAGGATTGAATAAAATCCAAGGCATACATATGTGTTTGTGCATGTATGTGTTTTTGTATGGATTTTCAAATTGATACTAAAGTATGCTTGTGTTGTAAATCAACATAAATTAGCATTGGTCTTTAAGTCTTTATAGATTGAATAACAAAGAATAAATAGTCAAAATGCAGAAGATAATATAGTTGTGCTTTTTGCGGTGAACTAGAACTACAAAACCTGTAAATTTCAAATTTAAATAAATAGCATACGTGGAGAAGTGACTAATGCATCATATTATTGTGCTTTGTTAGTCAATTTCAATGTAAACACAGTTCAGGTATGGTATGAATGAACTGTCTGAGAGTGTCTTGTCCCCTAGCCCTGAACCTTTGTGTATATGTCTGAACCAAATTCTTGGTGCTCTGTGTTTCTGAGCTATGAAATTTAAGATGCACTTTTGTAAATTGATGTAAAGCTGAATTCCAGAAGTTCTAGAAATACGAAAAAGTATTGGACACACTTTTTCTGATTGATATTCAGGGGGGGAAATGGTGTCACAGAAAACTAAAATAAGAATGATACTTCCTTTGCCATGTGGGCATTTGCATATATACTTAAAATTCCCAAATAGAGGATTAATTCTAAACTGGAGTTCCACTTGTTACTTTTCTAAAAAGCATATTCCTGGCTTCCTTATACCCCACCAAAATAGAGCCGAAAAGAAACATGAAGTTGGTGCGTGAAGGGCCAAGATGAATAAAATGAGCACCAAATTCCAGGCTAAGAACTTGTTTGAAAATGAAGGGCTTCTCTTCTTATTCCAAGTGTGAAATGGATCAGGATACATTTTATTCTTCAGGATTACTGGGGATAAAGTGTGAGCAACAAACAGAGCAAGACAGTTAAATTATTAGAAATGATGTATTGAGGCCAGAGAGAGAGAGAGAGAGAGAGAGAGAGAGAGAGAGAGAGAGAGAGAGAGAGAACAGAGGACAAGGCAGCTTCCCTTCAGTGCAGTTGTAGCGAAAACTCTGGTTTGAATCCCAACACCAAAGTTCCCCAGCACCACCAAGAGTGACCCCTGGGCACCATCCACTCAGAGGAATGCAGTTTGGCAGCATCACAATAAAGCCAACCCAGGTACTGCTTGTGGAAGGAAGGGGCAAAGTATGAGGAATGAGTGATAAGAAATATTCCACGTTCCCTTCAGTTGAAAGAGTTATATATGCTAAATATTTTTCTCCCTTGGAGGGAATCACACTTAAGCCCAACAACATTCAAAATATTTTTTCATAAGACCTCATTTCTGGCAAAGATTATATTGGTTTCATCTCCTCTGAATTTGAGGTGTTCTGTGTAACATGATAACCACTCCTGTGGTTAATTGAGCACCAGAGAGGTGGCTAGACCAAACTGAGATGTGCTGGAATTCTCAGATTTATAGCAGATTGTGAGGCACCAGGAAAAGAAGCAAAATAGGTATTGAGTAAGATATCGATTGCATGTTAAAGTCATAACATTTGGATATATTAGATGAAATGTATTGGTAAAATTAATTTAATCTGGGCCAGAGGGATGTTACTCGGGTAAGTCCTTGTCTTGCTGATTTTATTTCCTGGTCCCATATTGGGTCCCCCAAATATCTCTAGGGGTCACTCCTGAGCACAATGCCAGGAATAGCTCTTGAGCTCTGCTGAGAGTAACCTCAAGTGGCCCCTCCCCAAATAAATTTAACCCTTTTATTTTACCCCCACTTTTTTTGAGGCGCTGGGAATTGAATTCAGAGCTTCAGCATCTGCTTTACTGCTGGGCACCATCCCCTCCTTTTTCTTTTCTTTTCTTTTTTTTTAAATTGTGGCATCTAGAAACTCAAAACTATATATGTGACTCTCCTGCTTCAGTTGATTGCGCTGGTCTAGAACGAGCCTTTCCTCATTTCAAGGCATGGAATTGATTCAGAACTAAGATAATAGAAACACAGAATCTTCCAAAGGAGCTGACCACAGATGCTAAGCCTGGTATGGTGACGGACGCACCAGATTCATCCTGCATGATTCAGGGGTTTGTGAGCAGACAGAAACTCTACGGCCATTGAACAGGGAAAGGCCAGGGAACTGTAAGCATGTAACTTGGGATTGAGTCCCATCGGATAAAGAGAAATCTAGAAAGTATAGCAAGAGCAGATAATGGGGATACCAATTCTAGACCCCTACCGGGGGGCCAAGTCAAAACCTGAAGGGAAGGGTAAACTTAGACGAGGGTTGCTTCTCCCCAGAGCCAGGATCCAGGCCTCAACGAATGGGCCACAACCTTGCCCCACTTGATAATGGAGAACACTGAGGAGCTACCCAGGAGGGTACCAGCCGTGAGGTGCCTATAGGATTGCCCTCTGCAACCTATTAGGGACAGTTGGGGCTGAGGACTATCCTCTGCCTTGTGCCAGGGTCTGCCCATTGTGATCAACAGTCAGGTCAGCGCACGTTGGCCCCTGAAAGAGATGCCATTTCCAGCACCAGTGCCCTCAGCATCCTCTGCTGACACAGGTTAGCATGATGCCTGTTGGCAAGGAGGAAGTATTTACAGTTTTAAGTTCCAGTGTCACAGAGCAGAGCGTAAAAGGTGAGTTTGAGAGGAACTGATGAATAGCTGGCATATTCTGTTAACACACTGTCACTGTGTAAGATGCTCTTTTAATGTTTGTTTGTTTTTAAGTACTGAGATAATTGGGTACCAAGAAAGAATATATTTTTTTTATTAGTGAAACACCATGAGGTACAGTTGTAGATTTACAATTGTTTGTGCTTGGGTTTCGATTATACAATGATCAGATACCCATCCCTCCACCAGTGCCCATTTTCCACCACCATGGATAATATCCCTCCCACCCCCATCCCCCCATCCCCCCTGTCTCTGTGGCAGGGCAATTCCCCTGTGTTCTCTCTCTCCTTTTGGGTGTTGTGGTCTGCAAAAGAGGCATTGAGTGGCAAACACGTTCAGTCCATAGTCTACTTTCGACATGCCTCTCCCCTCCTGGGAGGATCCTCCAAACACCCTTTATTCGGTGCTCCCTTCTCTATCTGAAGAATATTTTAAAAATGGGACCTACCCCGAGATATTCGAGTGAGATATAAGAATCTTTCGATTTGCAAGGTCTTAGGAAATATAGTCTGTCTGTTGTTCTCAACAGAGGATATGAGATAGTATGGGTCCGGTTTCCTGGAAAATGTTCTCTTGATGTTTGCTTCATTCCTCTAAGTTGTCCTCATTGTTTTGTTTATTCCTGGCATGATGACAGTGTTTGACTACACGTATAGAGATTATGTCCTGTCCTGGTATGGAAACCTCAGCAGAGACGAGGGGACCCTTTACCATCTGCTCTTGGAAGACTTTTGGGAAATTGTCCGACAGCTGCACCACAGACTGAGCCACGTGGATGTAGTAAAACTCCTATGCAATGATGTTGTGCGGGCCTTACTCACTCACTTTTGTGACCTGAAAGCTGCAAATACCAGGTAACTGTCACAGCAGAGACACCTGTCTCCCCTTCACGGCACATTAAAATAGTCTCCTTTTTACTGAGTAAGGGGCAAAGTCAAGGTGAAACTCTAGACTCTTCTGCGTGAAACTTAATAAAATGGAGCTATATCAAGAGAGGCTGATTTATGTTCGAATCCAGCAGGTGAAAAATGGCTTCCTGGTGAAAATCACTTTTTAAAAAGTTGTTAAATTTTGTGAACAGTGAAACTCACACTCCTGAGGCAGAACTTGTTTACAATGTGATCTGTGTCTTTACATAGAAAACGCGTGTGTGATTAGTGTGAATGGATCCACGTCTGCTCGCCAAGTTGGTTTAGCACTGACGAACCGTACCATCTAGATTAGGGAGGAGCACCTCGCACCTCTCCCTTTCTTTCTCCTCCCAACTTGCAGCTCTGGTTTTGATGAGGCCTCTCTGGGGAGTGCTGGTGCATCCCTTTAGTCTGAAAACTGTTTGCTTTTTTTTTTCCCCTTTGATCGTTTTTTTAATCAGTTTGGGCCCGCTCGAGCAAAATGATGAACAGCGGGAGGACAGTGACAGTGACAGTGTTTTTTTTTTTTTTTTAAGATAAACAATTTCTTTAAACAGAGCTTGGGCTCTAATTGAAATGTTTCAGTGTGAAATGGCTTTGGGCTCTTTGTACTAACAAAAATGATATTGAAAAAGATTTTCAGTGCCTCCTGTGGGACTCTCTTTTCGAAGGAAGGTTTCAAAGCCAGACTTGTATGTATTAACCAATTTTTAGGCCTGCCAATGGGATTTGAAATAGATATGCATGAATCGTAGCATTTTTGAACCGTGGTTTCAGTAACCTGAGTAGCCTTCTGCCTCTTTGATACTCAAAGTTCTCAGCTGGTTTAGTGGCCTATTGGCTCCTATTCCTTCATACCTCTACTCTGATCCGGGAAGAGGCAGAGTAACGCCCAAGAGGATGGGTCAGCTCTGTAGCAGTGCCTGGCCGGTGCGAACTCCTTTCCTCTCCTAACAAGCCTGGCGATGTGAGTTTGCCTGCAGATAGACCTGTCCCCCCTGGGACGTTTGCTCAGGGGGACGCTGTTTCTGCAAGCAGCAGCTGTGCAGAGGCAGCCTGCCCTTCTCAGCTGTGCTCGCATGAGTCATCCCTCCTGTTGTCTCTCCACCTCCTGCTGGGAGCCGAAATCCACAGAACCATCACGCTCAGACCTATTATCTTCCAATTTGCTGCCTCGTGGTTTGCAACCTTTTCCAAACCCATGAAAAGACATTACATTTTATATCATGACCCATATTCACAAAATGGTGCTCCTGTGACCTGAAATATTACTTGGGTATTTTGTTGTTGATGCTGTTTAGCATTTTTTTCTTTTTAAATGCTGTTCCAGATTACGTTTTACTTTGTTCCTTGTGGGCCATGATCCATAGTTTGAAACAAATTTGCCGTTAAGCCACAATTCTCAGATTATGTGGTCCCAGAATCCCTTTCTACTCATAGAAGTTATTGAGAGTTTAAAATATTTTTTTTTCCTGCCTGTGTGTGTCATCTTTTGTGGTGTGCTGGAGTCCGCTTATAATGGTACGCAAGAGCTGATGGTGCACATCTAAGTCTGACTTTTCTAACTCTGACTTTGTTGATATCATGTAGCTTGTAATTGACCATGGTGGAAATATCTGCACAATGCAATGGGGCAAAGTTACCAATCAGAACTCCTCTGATTGAGACTCAGTTTTTAAACATTTAACTAGCACGCCACTTAGGAGATGTATCAATATTTACCATCTTAGATATTAAAACTATGATTTTTTAAAGTGTGGGAGTACACAGTACATTTTTACTTAGCCATCAGAGTGACAGAGTCATCACCATTTGTGTGGTTTCCAGAAAACTCCACTTTGCTCATTAGACCGAGAGTGGAAAAGACTAGGAACATTACTGTGGACTTAGTTTTCACTGACAGGCCTCTTCAAAGGGTCTTGCAGAGACACAGGAGTCTTCAGACCTCATGCTTTGGAAAACTGCTGTTTCTAGAGAAAGTCATTTCCAGAAGGTAGTATTTGAACTAAGGAGGAGAGTGGGAGAAACGGGACTCTTGGTTTTCCTGTCTAAAATAGTGCTTTTCAACCTTATTTCCCCTCTGGATTTCTCACCAGGCTGTGGGTCAACCATCAAAAGCCACAGCTCTAGAGTCTCAAAAGCTTCAACTTTTTGAGGGTTCATCCAGCCATTGGCACAGTGGCTAATTTGTCTAGTAACCTTCCTTAAAGTGCTCCTTAGTTCTGGCTGCCAAATACTTTCAAAGATTATTTGCATTCAGTTGGAAGTTTAAAGTTCAATTAGAATTTTGAAAAATTGGGAGATGAAGGGTTTGAGGCACAGCTGACTGACTGACTTTCTCCTTGTTCTGAGCTCAGTGATCACTTCCTTTTTTTTTTTTTCTTCTATTTTTTGGATCACACCTGGCGATGTACAGGGGTTACTCCTGGCTCTGCACTCAGGAGTTACTCCTGGCGGTGCTCAGGGGACCATATGGGATGCTGGGAATCGAACCCGGGTCGGCCACGTGCAAGGCAAACGCCCCACCTGCTGTGCTATCTCTCCAGCCCCCAGCGATCACTTCTGGCTTCTCTCTGAAGACCTTATGGGGTCCAAGAATTGATACCCAGGCCAGGCATGCAAGGCAAGAGCCCTACCTGCGGTAGGGCAAGTAGCCCTACTTGCTCCGCCCTCAAGTCATTCAGAATTTTAAAATATTTAAATTATGATACAATATTGAACAGTCACTTTTGAATCATTGTTTTATTCCATTTAGAAGACTGATAAAGGTTTGGGAGGGGAGCAAGTGGTTAGAGAAATTAAGTGTTCTGATGGATTATCCAATTAAAACCATGAGAATATATTTTTCATTCAGACTAGCTTCTGAAATTGCTGCCTTTGTAGATGATACCAATCAGAATAATAGAAGCAGAATTTGATTCCGTTTCAGAAATATTATTTCTTTGGGCATCGGGGCATATGCCAAGCTTAAATTTATTTTACTGATAACCAGGCTCTGTCTTGGACATGCTAGATGAGAATTCTCATCTTCTTTGTGTATTTGAAACAGCATCAGTAGGTCACTAGTGTTTTTCACACAGATGATCATGCCCTGGAGGTGAACCCTGGAGAACTAATATCTGGTGGTGCATCAGGTCTGCAAATCACACAAAAAAACTGGCAGATAGCGCATCTAGTCCATCCCTGTGTCCCCCCCCGCCCCCCCCCCCCCGGAAGAAGTGCATCTAGCTTTGATGCTTGTGTCTGTATTTGTCTGCCCCTGGTAAACTGTTAACCTTGATCCAGAAACCAATATGGTGACCAGACATCTATTGGCTGCAAATTCATTTTGGCAGTCTGTAAAGCACCCAACTGAATTGGTCACTATCAGATAAGAGAATAATGAAGTGCATTAATAAAAGCCATACATTCGCCAGTTGGCTATTACGCAATTGTGTGGAGGAAGCATTTGGTCAGCCTGTTTTCATTTTCAGGCAGTCATTCTGTTGCTTCTTGAAGCCAATTTGGATCACATTTAATTTTTCCCTCTGTTTCCTCTTCCTTTGTCCCATCTGTCTTCTTTCAGCATGTTTTAGGAAATTCTAAAAATTGTTTTTATACTATTAAATCAGTAATGTGTTTAATTTTATAATCTCTTTCATGTGATCTCTGTTTTGTTCACCAACCAAAGGGAAAAATAGTTTTATTTATGTATTTTTCCTCTGAGAAAGGGTTCTCTCTTTCCTCTGTGCTGTCTCTGGTTATGTCACTGCGGAGAGAGTCTGAACTGGAGATTCAGCACCGGACTTGAGCGTATTTCTATCATTTCTTACTTTTGTGACCCTGAGCTATTCACTTTATTACCCAGTTCTTCAACATTGCCAACTGCAAAATGATGATGATTCGCTTCTCAGTGTAGCTGGAGAGCTTTTAATACTGCACAGGAGAGGTTTACGAGAGGCCAGAGTCCTCTTGCTCACCCAAAGGTAGGAGTTAGGATTGCAGTAGACAAATACTCCAGGCCACGGAAACCCAGGCTCTGGATGAGGGCTCCTGATCCAGAAGTAGCTGCCTGCTCCCAATTCTTGCTTTGCTTCTGAAGCAGTCCTTAAGGTCCACTTGCTAGAGGCCACTGCAGAAGCATTCCCCGTCCTCACCCCATACACAGACTTGTTTCACCACCTCTCAGGTCTTTGGCTTGCTAAGGTGGCTTTTCCCTCACTTGGCTCCAGGAAGGGGAGGCCCTTGCAGCGGTTCAAGGAGCAGGCTCCTTTGGTGTGCGCCTTCCCTCAGGTCAGAGAGAGCACAGAGTGTTCTCCCAGAGGGATTTTGGTGTGCTTTACAAAAACTTTTCCAGTGAAAGGGTTTTGTTGTTGTTCTTCTTCTTGGAAGTCCAGTATCAGTTCAGAGAATGTGAGATGAGCGTGGGGGCAGGATAACACACCTGACCCAGGGGAGAATACCTGTAAAATCCTGTGTCCTCCCGTTGTTCATCGATTTGCTCGAGCGGGCCCAGTAACATCTCCATTGGAGACTTTGTTGTTACTGTGTTTGGCATAGCGAATACATCACGGGTAGCTTGCCAGGCTCTGCTATGCGGGTGAGATACTCTCGGTAGCTTGCCGGGCTCTCCGAGAGGGGCAGAGGAATCGAACTTGGGTTGGCCATGTTGGCTGCATGCAAGGCAAACGCCCTACCACTGTGCTATCGCTCCAGCCCTAAGGGAGGGGCGTGGGGGGGGGGGGGAGAGAATACAGGCTTCTTTAAACGGAGGAGAGCCAAGAGTGCACTTTCCAAGTTGGAATTTAGATGACCCCCAGAAGGGTATGTCTACCACTCGATTTCAGGTTTTAAGGGTTTTTCCTTTCCTCAAATGCCCCCCACGTCACTCTTGGTGGGGCCTTGGGGAACCCTGGAGATTGAACCTGGATCTGGTCGCGTGCAAGGCAAGCATGCTGATCACTGTTTACTTCCCAAGAAGCTCATTACCAGCCTCCTCTCAGTCCCCCCCGCAACCTGCCTGCTTCATATCCCGCCCTAGAAATTTCTTCAAGGGGTTAAACCTTCATCTTCTGGAGCTACTTCCTGCTGGAAAAATAGAAAGAACAGAAGCCTATCTATGGAAAGGAGTGAAATTGCCTGCTAACTTAGAGTTAGCTGAGCCCAGGAAATGACCAAATATGTGGCCTCTGTGTGTGTGTGTGTGTTTGTGTGTGTGTACTTACATATTTGTGTGTATGTTTGTGTACATGTATAGATACTTAGAGTAGCACTTTGAAAAAGGAACAAAATGACAATGGTATTTAATTCTTATTATATAAAAATAGCAACTCCAGCTTGCAGCATAGTGGGAATTTAGAGTAATTGGGAGATGACTCAGAGAGTTGGAGCATGTATTGTGCATACAAGAATCTGTGGTGTGCCATCATCATATGGCATCATCGCCCAGGTACCAAGTGGTCCTCTGAGCATCACTTTTTAGTGGACTCTGGGCACTAAGTGGGTGTTATCTCTATTAAAATTATTGAAGATACTCTTTTTTTTAAGTCAATATAAATTGGTTAGATGTACAAAGATTTATTTTTTAAAAGTGTGATTTTTGACTTTGAACCCAAGTTTGAAATCCTCTACCTTGTTGTAGAGATGAAGAGGAAGCTTTTCTAGAGGGGTGTTAGGGTCCTTGGAGGAGAAGGTTGGGTGATTGATGTGGTATTGAAATTATGTGCATGGGAAACCATCATTACCAGTAATGTTTATCACAGCACCTCAACCAATAAAAGCAAGACTTAAAAAGAAAAGGGAAATCTTTCTTTTTTAGTCTATGCACTCTAGAAATTAGTTTTCCCCGTTAACTCCTGGCAGACACTAGTCATAAGGACACCATTACATATTTATTTATGTCATTTCCCATATAATACCTGCCTTTTATAATACCACCCTCTCTATTTAGAGGTTTGATTTTATTTCCATCAGAATTAGCCCTTTGTTACTCTTACGAGTTCCATAAAATTTATCTTGTCTCTGGAAAATACTAGAAAAATAGCCTTCCCAGTCAATTTTGAAGTATGATCAAGATACTGCAGGAAAAGGAGATAAATAAAGTTCTGCTTTTGGGGCCCAGAGTGATAATGTAGTAGGCGGGTCTTTTGCCTTACATGCGACTGGCCTGGGCTTGCTTTCCAGAGTCCCATATGTCTCCTTCAAGTCTGCCAGGCGTGATCCCTGAGCACAGAGCCAAGAGTGAGCTCTGAGCACTGCTAGGTGTGACCCTAAAACAAAAACAACAAAATGAAAGTTCTACTTTATGTTTCTTTCACTCATATTCTCCAAATTAATAGTCATGAGATGGAGTCAGTCCTGACAGAGAGTCCTTGACAAGTTGGCAAGACTGAAAAAATGATATTTGAGGTCCTCCTAGAAGGCAGTTTATCGTAAATGATGTAGCAGCGAGTCATCAATCTAACTGTGGTAGGATTTCACTTTTTTTGGAGGGGCAGGGTGTTTGGATCACAAGTGATGGTGCTCAGGGCTTATTCCCGGCTCTGCATTCAGGGATCACTCCTGGCAGGCTTGGTGGACTGCAGATGGAATGCAGGGGGTCAAGCTTAGTTTCGCCATGTGCAAGACAGTACTATTGCTCTGGCCCAGGATTTCTCATTTCTAAAGTCCCATTATCATTTAGTCAGAAGGTTGACTAGTGACACTGGGTTTATGTTTGGATAGTTTTCTTTGGGTAAAAAAAGAAACTAGCTCACATTTAAATAGAAATCCAGGAGACTTTATATAATACTTTAAGAAAATATTCGTTTTCTAGATTGTTGCTCTCATTTAGGAGTTATATATAAATGTTAATGCACCTTAAAGTAGTTATTGTGAAATTCCAAAAGGTCATACATTTGATTTTTATCAAAGCAGTCTGTGATTGAGAATTATTGACTATTGATTTTGTTGAGGAGTGGACTCAGTTGTGAAAACCAGGGTATTATTCATTTGAAAAAATTTTTTTTTACCTAGTGGCACATACAAGAACTGTTTCCAGAAGTCCTTTTCTTCCTTTTCCCCCTTTCCTTTGCTTTGTAGACATGAAGAACAGCCGAGGCCTTTTGTGTTACATGGTTGCTTGAGGACTTCAGATGATGAAGTAAGATTCCTACAAACATGTTCTCAGGTTCTGGTGTTTTGTCTCGTCCCCTCAAAGGATGTCCAGTCCCTCATCTTACGTATAATGCTTGCAGAAATACTCACAAGAAAAGGTAGACTTTTATAAGTAATTGATAATACTAATGCCATGATAATTGTGCAGATTAATATGCTATCTACTAATATAATAACAAATGATGTGACATCTATTCAGACCTTGAGTATTTTAATCCATGTAGAAATGAAAATATTTTTAAAGTTTCAAGTTTCGCCATCGCTCAAGCAGGCATCAGGTCATACAAAACCAGAACACTGTATTTACCCTTTTGCCAAGTGCGTAGGCCATTCTTCTATATTGACTCAAGACAGCCAGCCTTTTGCTTCCCACAAGGAAGTATCTATTTGCGATGACTTTTGAGTTACTCATGCCAGCAGCAATGTGAGTTAAAGAAAGGATGTCTATACTCAAACTCCAAGATGTACTTATTTAAAATTATTTTACTTGAAAATTTGTTGATAATACTTATTTTGGGGATAAATGAAATAAGGAACTACAACAATATAATGTGGCTACTAGGAAAAAAAACAGTAATCCAGGGGAGAATGCTTAGCTCGGATGAGAAAAATGGAAGAAAAGATGGTATAAGAGAAATTAAAATAAGTAATCTAAAATCAGTCTTCGAATCTAAAATAAGTAATGTTGCATTTGATAGGTGCTGATTGAATATTTCACTTAGTATCTCAGGATTAGTCCCTTTTTTGCCACATATGACAGTGTTCGGGGCTTACTCCCGGCTCTGCACTCAGGGATTACTTCTGATGGGGCTCAGGGGATCATCTGGGGTGTCAGAAATAGAACCCAGTTTGGCAGTGTGCAAGGCAAACACCCTACTCACTGTACTGTTTCTCCAGCCGGATTAGTAATTTCTAGTCCATTGTTAATACATCCAACCACAAAGAAAAGGGGAACTTTTAAACTGAAAGGTGGCAGTGTTAATTGACCCTTCCTTGAGGTCTGCTTTCACCAGTTGAGATAATGTTGACTTTTTAATCCTGTGGCAGAAAGAATATATTGAGCCTTAAAGAAGACAAAAGAGAAAAATCCATGTACTTAAATTTGATAGCTTTGCTAGCTGCTTGGGCTCCAAATGACTTTCCTTTCATTATCACTTCACATTTGAGTCATTTATTATGGCCGCAGTGAATAGCATACCCACAGGGATAGGCAACTCTGTGTGTGTATGTGTGTGTCTGATGCTCATGCACCTTTTTGAATATTTGAACCCTGCCTTTGGATAATTTTTCTTAAAAAAATGTTTCCTCAATTGTTTCAGTTTTAATTATATAATGTAAAAATAATTCCTTTAAAGATGACTCTCTTTCTCAGTTGTGCTTTCTTCTTCTTTCCACAGTCTTGAAGCCAGTAGTGGACTTACTTAGTAATCCAGATTACATTAACCAGATGCTGCTCTCTCAATTGGAGCACAGACAACTGGCGAATCAACATCATAAAAGAGCCTATACCTATGCTCCTTCTTATGAAGAATTCATCAAGCTTATTACCAGCAATTCTGATGTTGAATTCTTGAAGCAACTCAGGTATTTGGTCTTGAATTATAACATGGCAATAGTTGCTAATTATCAGCTCCTGCTTAGTTAAGTGGAAAAAAGTGTGGTTGTTAGGGTAGCAAAAATGAGGCGAGAATAATAATCTTAACATTCAATGACAACTAAATTTGTCCATCTTCTCCTAGAAGTAGTTTGAGTATTTTCAAGGTCTCAACTTTGTGTTAAAGAATCAGGTTTGAGTTATTCAGTTGTTTTGAGTCTCTGTTTAACTGCCTGGATATTTGTTAACACAGAAGACTGTTTTAAAAAGGGTTTTTTCCTTCTTTTTATTAAAGTACTGTTATTTTCAAAGTTATTGATAGTTGAGTCTTAGGCATGTATTTCAACACCAATTCTACTACCAGTGTCAACTTCTCTCCACCACTGTTCCCGTATTCTCCTCTCCACCCCATCCCCCACCTGTCAACTTGACAGGCACATTATAAAGTTTCAGTGGTTGCAACTTACATCTCATGGTTTCAGTTCTGCTGTGTTTCAGATATATGGCTATACCACTCATGCACCGGTATAACCGAAACCCTGATGCCCGTTCACCCTTTACCTCCTGTTCTCTTCATTTCCCCTTGATTTCTTACCTTCTATTTCCTTCTCCTGTCTAAACAAGGGGGTCAGGAGTGATCTAGGCATCCCCTATTACTAAAATACATTGGAAAGAGATTTTTAAAAATACTATATCACGCTTTGTGTTGGCTGTTGATTTTCTTGGAAAAATCAAGAGTTAAGGCTTTAGAATAAAGAATTGTTGATTAACTGTCTTGAAAAAATACATTTAAAAATATTGCCCAAGAGTCTCTTTCATGGGGGGAAATTCAGTCTCCCTTATTCTTGAGATATTTTGGGGGGTGCATTGTTTTTCTTTTCCTTTTTTTCTCTCTGTCTTTTATTAGTTTTGGGTTTTGTACCTGGAAGTGCTCAAGAATTACTCCTGGCTCTGTGCTCAGGGATCACTCAGGGCTCAGGGGACCAGTTTTTTTTTTAATTGAATCACCGTGAGATAGAGCATTACAAAATTGTTCATGATTGTGTTGGGATACACAATGTTCCGACACTCATCCTTCCACCAGTGTAATTTCCCAGCACCAGTGTCATCAGTTTCCCTCCCAGCCCTTCAAGCCACCCCAACCCCAGCCTGCCTCTGTAGCAGGCACCTCTCTTCTCTCTCTCTCTCTCTCTCTCTCTCTCTCTCTCTCTCTCTCTCTCTCTCTCTCTCTTTCTATCTCTCATTTTAGGCATTATGGTTTGTGATACAGATGCTGAAATGTTATGATCCATAGCCCTTTACCTGCTTTCAACACTCAGCTTTTGTCCAAAGTGATCATTTCCAACTATTATTGTCATAATGGACCCTCCTCTATCTTAACGACCATTGACCAGTTCTCCTGGTCCATTTCCCCTGGTCTTAGATATTAGTTTCATACTTTTTTTTTGTATCCCACAAAGAAATTCATTCATTCTATGTTTGTTCCTTTCTGACTCATGTCACTCAGCATGATACTCTCCAAGTCTATCCATTTAGAGGCAAATTTCATGACCTCATTTTTCCTAATAACTGCGTAGTATTCCATTGTGTAGATGTACCATGGTTTCTTTATCATACATCTGTTCTCGGGCACTCGGGTTGTTTCCAGATTTGTGCTATTGTGAATATTGCTTCAGTGAACATAGAGGTGCAGATGGTGCTTCTGCTGTGTGTTTGTGGACTCCCAGTGTATATTCCTAGAAGTGGTTTTGCAGGTCAAATGGGAGCTCAGTTTCTAGTTTTTTGTTTTTAATTAATTAATTAATTTATTTATTGAATCGTTGTGGGAAAAATTACAGAGCTTTCAAGTTTAGGTCTCAGTCATGCAAATATCAATCACAATTCCCTTTACCAATACTTATTTTTCACCACGAAGAACTCCAATAAACCCCCCCCCCCCGACCCCCACCCAATGTCTGTGGGGTAGATGAATTCTAGTTAACACTCTGTCTACTTTGACTAGCTTCATTGTTTGGATAAAAGTTGCACCATTATTATTTAGACTTTACCCCCCTCAAACTCAGCCATGCTGAAAAAGCATTGTGAAATGATTTGCTTTGTACAGCTGGGTTCAAGAATTAAATGATGTCGCACGGCTGCGATAGCGATAGCGGCCGTGCGGTTTTGGATTTCTGCTATTTTATTTATTAATCCTGCAAGTATTTCTACTGAGAGTCAGATAATTAAGAGATTGGTCTCTGTGCTTCTGGGGCCGTGGCCGTGCCGGAAAGCCGCTCGTGGGGGGCAATTGGTGACCTCGGTCGGGCATGAAGGACGGGCCGGAGCGCCCCCCCCCCCCCCCGTCCCATGAGGTATCCATCGCGCCCCCACCCCCGGCTCAGACCTGCTCTCCACCAGGCTCCCATGCGGCCGCCATCTTTCTTTCCAGAGAGGAGAGGGCGAATCAGTTTCTAGTTTTTTGAGGAATGTCCATATTATTTCCAAAAAGGCCAGACCAATTCGCATTACCACCAATAATGAAGGAGAGTCCCTTTCTCCCCACATTCGCACCAGCACTGATTGTTCTTGTTCATTTGCATGTGTGCCAGTGTCTATGGTGTGAGATGATATCTCATTGTTGTTTTGATCTGCATCTCCCTGATGATTAGTGATGCAGAGCGTTTTTTCGTGTGCCTTTGGTCATTCAGATCTCTTCTTTGAGGAAGTTTCTGTTTATTTCTTCTCATTTTTTTTTAATGGGGTTGGGTGCTTTTTTCTTTTAAAGTTCTACCAGTGCCTTGTATATCTTTGATATTAACCTCTTATCAGATTAGTATTGGATGAATAGTTTTTCCAATTCCATGAGCTGTCTTTGTATATTGGCCACTGTTTCTTTTTTTTTCTTTTTACTTAATTAATTTATTAAATCACTGTGGGAAAAGTTACAAAGCTTTAAGGTTTAAGTCTCGGTCATTCAAATATCAAACACATTTCCCTTTACCAATACTTATTTTTCACCACGAAGAACCCTAATAAACCCCTATTCCCAACCCTCCCAGTGCCTGTGAGGCAGATGAGTTCTAGTTAACACTCTATCTACTTTGATTAGATTCATTGTTTCGACAAAAGATGCACCATTATTATTTAAAGTTTACACCCCCAAATCAGACATGCTGAAAAGGCATTGTGAAATAATTTGTTTTCTACAGCTGGTCAAAAGAATCAAATAGTGGCTACGCAATTTTGGATTTCTGGTGTTTTACTTATTAACCCTGGAAGTATTTCTGCTGAGAGTCAGATAATTATGAGATTGGTTTCTGTGCTCTGGAGCCATGACCGTGCCAGAGAGCCACTCGTGGGGGTCAACTCATGACCTCGGTAGGGCGTGAAGGATGGGCTGGGAACGCCCCCCTTCCCATGAGGTTTCAGTCGCCCCATCACGACAGGCTCACACCTGGCTTTCCACAAAGCTCCGAAGCAGCTGCCATCTCTTTCCAGAGGGAAAAAGGCGGAAGGGAGCAACACCCTTTCCCCTCCAGGCAGGCATGGTGGTGTGGATTAACGCATAGTCCATTCACTTTTCTGCTGCAAGCTGCTGGGGCAACTGTTTCTTTTGAGGTGCAGAAAATTCTAGTTTATGTAGCCCCATTTGTTAATGTAGTTAATATTTGATTCCATTTGCTTGGTCAGTGGTGTTTCACCTTTGAAGATGCCTTGAGTTTCAATGTAATGGAGGGTTTTGCCCATGTTTTTTTTTTTTTTCATGTACCTTATGGATTCAGGTCTGTGATATGCCAGTTTTTTCACATAGCATAGTGGGTAGGGCATTTGCCTTGCACACGGCCAACTTGGGTTCGATTCCTCCACCCCTTTCAGAGAGGGAGAGCCTGGCAAGCTGCTGAGAGTATCCCGCCCACATGACAAAGCCTGGCAAGCTACCCGTGGCGTATTTGATATACCCAAAACAGTAACAACAAGTCTCACAATGAAGATGTTACTGGTGCCTGCTCGAGCAAATCGATGAACAACAGGATGACAGTGGACAGTGACAGTGATATATATATTCAAAGACTGCATTATCACCACTAATGCCACAGTACTTTCGTTGCCCTATAAAGAAACCTTGTACCATCAGCAGTCACCCCAGCCTTGACAGCTACTGTTCTGCTTTCTGACTCTAGGATTGCCTGTTCCGTACATTTCATATGCAAGAGTAATACATTCTGTGGGTATTTTTTTTGCTTGCATAATGATTAATTTATTAGGAAAATGATGAGGGGAGAAGTCAAAGTAATGTGACTCCAATGTTCCAAGATGGGATAAGTACCAATAAATTGTTTGCCTGTTTTTTTTTTAATGAAGGAGTACTGCTATTTATTCAGTCACTGGTTAGCTGATTGAATTGTGCATGAACTCCATCTTACTTTTTTTTTTTTACTTTTTATAATTTTATTTATCGAATCACTGTGAAAGCAGTTACAAAGCTTTTGGGTCTAAGTCTCGGTCATACAATGAAACACTCATACCTTCACTAGTGCCCGTTCTCCACCCCCAACAACCCCAGTATACCCCCATCCCACACCCTCCCCCTACCTATGGGACAGATGATTTCCACATTACTATCTCTCTACTTTGATCACATTCAATATTTTGACACCAGACCCACCATTATTATTTGAGAGCCTGGTTTTTTTTTTTGAGGGTTCATTTTGTTGTTGTTTGTTTGTTTTTTCTTTTTGGGTCACACCTGGCAATGCACAGGGGTTACTCCTGGCTCTGCACTCAGGAGTTACTCATGGCGGTGCTCAGGGGACTATATGGGATGCTGGGAATCGAACCCGGGTCGGCCGCGTGCAAGGCAAATGCCCTGTGCTATCTCTCCAGCCCCTGTTTTTTTTTTAAATTTAATTTTATTTTTGTAAAGTTGTTCACAGTAATTTATTACATCTAATATACCAACACCAATCCCAACACCATTATATCTCCCCACCACCATATTTCAAATGCTTCC